GAAATGTTCTATAGAACAGGAAGAAAATGGCAGCGTTGTTATTCCTTTGGAAAATAGTGACAGCAGTCATCTGGTGAGACGGTGGAAATCCACGAGTTCGAGGTTGCACACACCAAAAAAAAAATCAGAAAATATGTTTTTTTCTTAAAGAAAAACTGTTCCAACCTGATTCCAACATGCAGGTGAACACGTATGCGTTCAGGTTTCAATCTATGAAACTTGAATACTAATCATAAATTGCATTAAGCTGAGAAAACAAGTTAATAAATGTTGCCTTATTTTGCCAAAATTTCACGTACTGTTACACTCATAGGAAGCAATGAACTATTACTTTCTACAACTATATGTATTACAACTGCCTGGAATTCCTTCAATTTCTTTTTTTTTTTTTTTTTTTTTTTTTCTTTTTCTCCCAGCATTAATACTTGGAGTTGTTTGAGCCAAAGGTCTCCCCTGCACTGACAGGCTTCTTTCCCTAGCATTTCATTGAGAAAAAAACCCAAAGTGTTTCCCAAACATACAACAATTCATACATTTTTGTAACTTTTTGTTCATTTTTACAGTGGTAATACACTTCAAGAATACATTACAGTTTTAATATCAAACATTTTTTGTGGTTCAAGTATCACAGAAACATGTAAGCTTTTCTTTACACGTTTCCATACTCATAGCTTTTGTAGCAGTCGAGTAATTCACATAAATAATATTTAGCCTTACAAACACTGGAAAACTATGGAAACCCAGCAGTCTTCCTCTTTATTTTCCTAGTGGATATGGACCTAGTTCCAGACACAATAAAGTTTTTAAGAAACTTAACTGCTATTTGAAGAAGATTTCAGCTACTCTCAATAAGCTACTCTCAGTAGTAGCACAAAGCATTTTTTAATCTGGACATATAAATCTTATCCAGGAAAATCCATAAGAACACATGAACCAAACTTGATATGTTATAATGCAAGCTGGTATCTTAATTACTTGGATATTCATCAGCTTCTCCAAAACTTGAAAGTTAAGGCTGTTTTGCAAGTGTGGTAATCCATTTGCTTACTGTTGTAGGCAAACAATTATTTCCCACACGGGGGAAAAAAAACTGTTTCAAAAGAGATAACTCATCTTAGACATTGAGCTCTATTGATCCACTATCTATCATTTTTAAACATGGTATGACTAAAGATTTCAGCATTAAATCATGCCATCATGTGGTATCGGAAAGTCTCTTATGCCCTGTCTGATTGCTTAAAATAACAAATTGCCATTCCTTTGGGTTACGCAATTACTTAATGTTGGTATAAATAATGGCTGTGATTTAAGCTTCTGTGTAAGATGCTCCAGAAAGCCTGCTAACGCTAATTTCACAAACATCTTCAGAATGGCAGCACATCTTCTTTTCCCCCTAAAATATCAGTGTATTTGTTAGAGAAAGTATGGTCAGTGAAAAGAATATCAGCATGTGAGGATACTGAATTTTACTGTTGAGTACGTCGCTACTACAGCTGGAAGGTGAGACATCTGCTAGAATAAATACTATTACATGGGGATCTTACAGGTAAACCTCCTGTTTTACACTGCTAAAGGCTTTAAGGCCAGTATTGGTAATTTCTGCTCAGAATTGTATGATTTCAGAAATTATTCTAACATACCTAGCAGATACAGGAAGAATGTTCTGAAGTTGCAAATAAGGCAAAGTTTCCACAGTAAAAGACAACATAGCTGAAATTGGGAAGTAGCCATTTCTTCAGTCCAGACAAGCAGTTATCACTGGTAAAGGTTTATCTAATAAAATTCCCAATCTAATGAACAAAGCAGTATTTCAGTTTGGTTCTGTTTATTTTGGGGAGGTCAATGAAAACACAACCCACTCCGATTAGATCTGAACTAGAACTCAGCTACTATAGAAGAGACGACACTGGTGAAGAACAAGCTGACGTCTGCAAGAAGTGAGGTTGTTCAACAGGCTTCCAGCAGTGTTCAGCTGTTTCAAATGATGTCTACCATCTACAAAAATAGTTTAAAAAAATAAATTAAAAATGCCATGCTTCTTGAGATTAAGGTTTTATAAAAAGAGGAAGGAATAAGTAAGTGACAGAAAGAGACAACAGGCACAAGATGCCTGCCCCACAGATGGGGCATCCACAACCTCCTTGGGCAACCTGTTGCAATGCATCACCATCCTCTGAGTGGAAAACTTCCTCCTAATATCTAACCTAAACCTTCTCTGTCTCAGTTTAAAATCATAGAATCATAGAATCACTAAGGTTGGAAAAGACCTAAAAGATCACCCAGTCCAACCGTTCACCTATTCCCAATAGCTCCTACTAAACCATGTCCCTCAACGCAACATCCAGTCTTTCCTTGAACACCCCCAGGGTCGGCGATTCCACCACCTCCCTGGGCAGTCCATTCCAGTGCCTGACTACCCTTTCTGAAAAGTAATACTTCCTCATGTCCAGCCTGAATCTCCCCTGCCGTAGCTTGAAACCATTCCCCCTGGTCCTATCACTAATGACACGAGAGAAGAGGCCGACCCCCAGCTCACTACAACCTCCCTTCAGGAAGTTATAGAGAGCAATAAGGTCTCCCCTGAGCCTCCTCTTCTCCAGGCTGAACATTCCCAGCTCCTTCATTCATTCCCCCTTGTCCTATCTCACCCATGTATCAACCCATGTAAAGAGTCGTACCCCCTCCTGTTCATACGCTCCCTTCAAGTACTGGAAGGCCACACTGAGGTCTCTCCGGAGCCTTCTCTTCTCCAAGCTAAGCTAGCCCAGTTCTCTCAACCCTTCTTCATAGGAGAAAGGAGAAGGTACCAAAAGGATTTGATTTCATTTTTAGTAGGCCAGTAGTTTACTATTGATGAGGGTATTGCAATATTCTCCTCCAGATCCTTCTCACAGAATCACAGAATCACAGAATCACCCGGGTTGGAAGGGACCCCAAGGATCATGTAGTTCCACCCCCCTGCCTAGCAGGGCCACCAAACATAGACATTCAGATCAGGTTGCCCAGGACCCCGTCCAACCTGGCCTTAAACACGTCCAAGGACGGGGCATCCACAACCTCCCTGGGCAGCCCGTTCCAGGGCCTAACCACTCTCCTAGTAAAGAACTTCCCCCTAACATCCAACCTAAATCTTCCCTCCTTCAACTTAAAACCATTTCCCCTAGTCCTGCTGTTATCAACCCTTCTGAACAGTTTACTCCCCTCCTGGGTGTAGGTTCCCTTCAGGTATTGATAGGCTGCAATGAGGTCGCCTCGCAGCCTTCTCTTCTCCAGGCTGAACAAGCCCAACTCCCTCAGCCTGTCCTCATAGGGAAGGTGCTCCAGCCCCCTGATCATCTTAGTTGCCCTCCTCTGGACCCTTTCCAAAATCTCAATGTCTTTCTTGTACTGAGGGCTCCACACCTGGACACAGTATTCCAGATGGGGCCTCACAAGAGCCGAGTAGAGAGGGACAATCACCTCCCTGTCCCTGCTGGCCACCCCTCTCCTGATGGAGCCCAGGATCCCATTTGCCTTTCGAGCTGCCAGAGCGCACTGCTGGCTCATATTCAGTCTCTCGTCCATCAGGACCCCCAGGTCCTTCTCTGCCGAGCTGCTCTCAAGGACCACTCCTCCCAGCCTGTACAGGTGCCTGGGGTTCTTCCGGCCCAAATGCAAAACCTTGCACTTTGCTGTGTTGAACCTCATCAGGTTCACCCGAGCCCAGCCCTCCAGCCTGTCGAGGTCCCTCTGAATGGCATCCCTTCCTTCCACCGTATCAACCGCACCACTCAGCTTGGTGTCGTCAGCAAACTTGCTGAGGGTGCACTCAATGCCCTCATCGATGTCATTAATAAAGATGTTAAAGAGCACCGGTCCCAAGACAGACCCTTGGGGGACACCACTTGTTACCGGCCTCCACCTGGACATAGAGCCATTGACCACCACCCTCTGTCTGCGGCCTTTCAACCAATTGCTTATCCATCGGGTCGTCCACCCATCAAATCCACTTCCCTCCAATTTGGAGATGAGGATGTGGTGGGGGACCATGTCAAAGGCCTTGCTCAGGTCCAGGTAAATGACATCGGTCGCCTTCCCTTCGTCCACCAATGCCGTCACTCCATCATAGAAGGCCACAAGATTAGTTAGGCATGACCTTCCTTTGGTGAAGCCGTGCTGGCTGTCTCGGATCACATGCTCATTCTTTATGTGACCAAGCATGTTGTCCAGGAGGATCTGTTCCATGATCTTCCCAGGCACGGAGGTGAGACTCACCGGCCTGTAGTTCCCCGGGTCCTCCCTGCTCCCCTTCTTGTATATGGGAGTGACATGACCCTTCCTCCAGTCGTTCGGGACCTCACCTGACAGCCATGACTTCTCAAATATGATGGAGAGCGGCTCGGCAACCACCTCAGCCAGCTCCTTCAGGACCCTGGGATGCACGCCATCCGGCCCCTTCTAGTTCTTTCCTTGCCATTTGAATAAGACAATTTCTGGTTGTAGAATCAATGAAATCCCAACTAGCAGAAAAGAAAGCATGCATAAAATTTATGAAGGTACCATTATGATTGATCTGCTGTAAGCCTCCTTAGCAGTGGACAGAAGTGATTTTTTTATACCCACAGAAAATCTTACCCTACTTCTTGTTTATTGATGTGGAAATACTGACCTCTGTAGAAAAACTCAAACTAAAAATATATCTGACTACAAAATTCCCCAAGAAATTTCTGGAAGTTGAATCCAAATAATTCTAATAAACTAAATTCAGTTCTGTTGTTAAATGAGGATACATAGATAAGTCTTAGGTTTTCAGAGAGTTCAGACAGTAGAGAGAATATCATAAAAATACATTCTTTTCCAAGAGGTCTGTTTTCACAATTGATCCTGTTTTAAATTCATTATATTCCATGATTCTTGGAATGCGTATTTATTCTCCTCCACAATATACCATAATTGTAAAAGTTCTTGACTTTCATACTTCTTAATATCAAAGAAACTGTATAATTACATCAGCCTGGTACTTAAGTCTGACTTCAGTTTTACTGAAGTAAATCCAAATTATCATAGAAATGCGTAAAAAATAAATTTTCAAGTCCCACTCAAATACGCAGAGACAGAGGTCAGTCTGTGAACCTTGATCACTGCCGTGGTTGTCTTCAGAAATACACAGAGGCTCACTTTATTAAAGGAGATCCAATCAACCAAGGGATGATATTCTGTGCAATATTTTTGGATGACAGCAAAGCTTTCAATACTGTTTCTCACAGTATCCTGATGGACAACATGTCCAGCATACAGCTAGGCAAAAACATAACATGACAGGTGAATAGTTGGCTGATGGGTTGGGCTACGTCTGTCAGCGGTGGGCTTCACACGGCTCCATTTTAAGTCCAATTCTATTCAATGTTTCTATTAATTACTTGGATATGTTTCTTGAAGGTATACTAAATAAGCTTGCAGATGGCATCGAGAAGGAGCTGTTGACTCCCTTGAGGGCAGAGAAGCTCTGCAGAGAGATCTTGGTACATTGGAGAGCTGGGCAATCACCAACTGCATGAAATTCCACAAGAGCAAGTGCTGGATTCTGCATATGGGATGAGGCAACACCTGATCTGAGTACAGACTAAAGACAAGAAGATGGAGAGCAGCCCCATGCAAAGTGATATGGGGGCTGTGGCAAGTTGAATGTGAGCCAGCAGTGTGCCCTGGCAGGCAAAGGGTCCACAGTGCCCTGGCAGGCAGCAGGCCCAGCACTGCCACTGGGCGAGGGGAGGGGTTGTCTCACTGTGCTCTGCGGTGGGTGGCCTCGCCTCCAGCACTGGGGGCAGGTTTGGGTGCTACAATATAAGGACATAAAATTGTTAGTGTCCAAAAATTTGAATTAGACTTTTAATTTTACTGTTATTAATTAATTAATTAAAACAATTCTAAAGAAATCAGATTTTTGTCTAAAAATGTTCCACTTTAGGAACTTCAGGAGTTATGATTTAGGCTTGTTATTTACACATAACTTCTGAGTTATCTAGGGGATTTTTTAAATAGATATAATTAAACTAATACAAACATCAGTGAGCTAATATATATGAAATAGATTTACCTATATCTGCTGAGGATTGTGAAGATTAATCCAAGTGCCATTGTGTATAATCAAAGAGGCCAAGAAATCAGACTGATTTATCATTTATCAGACTGATTATCAAATGTTGTCTCCCCAGGTCAAATCTGAAAGTTGGTTTGTTTCAGTTTTGCATCTGGAATACACATAGTTCCCAAAGATTACATCTTAATGGATATTATTAAAAAAATAATAATTTGTCACTTACTTAGAAATCAGTTCTACAAAGAGAGTCGTATTTCAGAGATACGATTGACTGCAGTTTAAAGCAGAACTTAGAGTGCAAATCAAAGGATGTAAGAACTCAGAGGACTGGTAAATATTGGTGTGGGTTGACTAATAGATGATGTAGAATGAACATACAAAGTTTAATTCTGTTTGGCTAGATTGAACGCCTGGTAGAATAAGAAATCTGATGGAATGAAAAAGATTGAGTGAAAACAGTTTTACTCAAAATGCAACATTTCTAAACAGGTAGAAGAAAAATTGTCACAGAACTATAGAGGTAGTTCTATATATATAGCATAGAACTATAGAGGTAACTTCAGCTTTTCAAGGCAATACTGTAGCAACACTTTGTTTGCAGAATAGACAACCACAAGATGGCTCCTTTCATACTACACTAGCTAGAGAAACCTCGTAATGTAAACTGCCTTTTTACTCTGTTTCATGAAGAAAAACACCAGACACCATCTTCTTTAACAAAAAGATGGAGCTATGATTGCTTGATTAAACCACAGTTAGGACAGAAGCACGTTCTTTCTGAAATGAGTAGACTTAAACCCTCAAACATAGCAGCTAATCTCAGGTTGAGGGTTTCAAGAATACTTGCCAGGCTTAGAAATAGATGTGTCATACTCTTCATCTTTCTCAAGACTTTTGTTTGTTCTCTTTGTAAGAGGATATGACATTTTTCACTTCAATACATGTTTTTCTTTCCCCGTGGAAAGATTTCCAGATTATGGAATTGGAAAATCAGATGATTTATCAATTCCAGATCCGTGTAAATGCAGTCATGGCATGGATTTATTTGTTATTTCATTTAACATTTAAATAAATACTACCTAATATATTTCTCCAAGCTTCCACCCAAGTGCAAAAAACAGAATAGTACACAGTAACTGTAAAGATATTCTTAATGTAGAAAGATTTGTTTGGTGTGATTTATCATGCTCAGTTGCGTAGACTCCACAGCTGCAGCCATGAATTCCAAGAGCTGCAATACGCAGCACCCTGCAGTATCCTTCTGGATGCGAGAGATGAAATTTTCACACAGTCATTAGCATTCCTTACATCTCAACGTAGCACAGAGCACAAAGTAACACGGACAGGTTGCTTCCTCCACCGCTGCACAGCAGGGCGGAACACAGCAACTGCTCACTAGTGCTTAACAAGGGAGGAAGACAGCATCTCTAATGAAGTATCGGGAGGAATTCAGGGAGTCATCATGTGAATTGCATAAAGAGAAACTTGAGCAACACTCCTCCACACACACACACACACACACACACACACACACATACACATACACACACTTCTTTTCTTTTCTTTTTTTTTTTTTTCTGATGGAAGTTTGTTAATGAATAAAAGTGCTTGGGAATTCAGTTTTATATTCATCTTCCATGTGGACATAAATGGAGAAATGAACTTTCAGTGTTCAGGTAACGTTGGAGATTATTTATTTATTTATTTATTTATTTATTTATTGGAAGACAAGAACACTGAAGGACCTTTTTATTGCAGTGGTTTAGGCTCAGTACAAATTGAAATGGTTTGATATCGATTTCTCACAGGTTGTTGTTGTGGTTCTTGTTGGATTTTTTGTTTGGTTGGTTTTTTGTTTGTTTGTTTTTAACAGGTATTTTCTCTCTCGAGAAATCTTGATTTTCAGTTAAACCTTGTAAGGAATGTTGAAAAGTGAAGGACAGTTTGTCAATAAGCCAAAAATCATAATCAACTCCTTTACTGTCAGGCAGCAGACCTCTTTAAACATGGCCCAGATAAGTCCCACCGTGAATCAGGAGAAGAATTAGTTGCATGGAGGCAGAATTGGCAAAAACTCACAATGAATAAGGTCACTCTTCCCAGGCTCGTAAAAGATGGCAGCTTTACAACTGCAGGGTAACAAATCTGTTTTTATTTTTTACCCACTAAATCACATTGTTTCCTAAGCAATGAAGATTTTTTAAAAGGCTCCTTCATATGTAAGTAAATATTTTTCTAATGTAATCTTAATATATCTTGCAAACCAATCCTAGTTTACTTAACAGCGAGATAGTTTTCTCCAGGGAAGGCAGGAAGAAATGGGGGATGGCAAAGGGAGAGTTTGGCTCCGGCTGCAATACGCAGCTGCTCTTTGCTACTTGCCTGCAATGGAGTAATACGTCAGTAATTATTTGAAAGTCAGACAGATTCCCTGCTTTCCTTGCCAAACAAAATTCTGAGAACTGAGGGCTGGAAAGGAGGACAAAGAACTTTCAGTTTGCTCTTTTTCCACTCATGGCTTTCTTTCCATGTAAGCAGCTACTGCTGCTATTAATTTTCTGGTCTTTGTGCTCTGAGAGGCCTCACATACTATGCAAATTTAATTTTAGCACTTGGGCTTTAATGCTTCTATGTTTATTAAATTAACTTTTTACAAAAAGAATTCAGCTGCTTCTCCCAGTAACTTCCACCAGAAAGAGTAATGTTGATTTGCCACACTGTTTTAGGAGCAAACACAACAGAACAGTTGGTCTTCTAGAAGAAAGGTGAAGATAGAAAAAAATCCACAAAAGAATGAACAAAGTAAGTCAAGTGGTACAGTGCTCAGTCATGGTCTTAAGTGTAAAAAAACCCAGGAAGTAAACCTAAACTTTGAACTCGTCTCTGAAGATGATGAGTCAGATTCTATTTGCACTAAGGAAATTATAGAAAGTTTCTCACCATTGCTAAAATAAATACATGGCATCTAAAGAGATGCTACATTTTCACCGCAGTTCACAGATTTCCAAAATAAAATGAATGATGAATAATGTCAGAATTAGTTTGTCCTTTTGTACTTGGACAGCATGAATTTGCACGACAAACTCCTACAAATACAGGTTGTTTTAAGGGAATCAGTTCCAGATAAAATGTGAAGAAGTCCCTGTGTGACCAGGTTCATCAATGTAAATGATATTCAAGAAGGGCCTATTTGTCAGAATGTAGATTCTTAATGTAACCTAACAAGGCTGTTATTCAGAGATACATTAGCTCTGTACAGTGGCAGGGAACCTACATAAGCTTGTACCATTTTCCTGCAGCAGTTGGCAACAGGCAAGAATACTCTTGGGCGTCTCAAATGGCACTAGACAAGTATGTATGGCAACTAAATAAAACTCTAAATGTTAACCAGTGCAAGCTCTCCGTAAGAAAGAAGGAGGGATTTGAACAAAGAATGTATTCTATTAAATTCCAAAGTTGGAGTGGTGGTGGTTTTGTTTTGTTTTTTTTTTACAAAAATACCCAAGACCATTCTGTGTGAGTTATCATAAAGTCCTCCATCTTCAACCTTCCTGCAAAGAAAAATCAGCAAATGTAATTAATTTGTACAAGAATGGCACATAGAAAATGCAGAGTACATTACAGAGTTGTGTAAATTATGGAATCATTAAGGCAGGAAAAGACCTCTAAGATTATCTAGCCCAACCATCCACCACAAATGTTGCCCACTAAACCATGTTTCTTAGTACCACACCTAAACGTTTCTTGTACAAGTCCAGGGACAGTGACTCAACCACCTCCCTGGGCATCCCATTCCATTGCCTGGCTGCTCTCCCAGATAAGAAGCTTTTTGTAATATCAAACCTGAACCCTGATGCACCTTGAGGCCATTCCCTCTCAAACTATCACTGTTACCCAGGAGAAGAAGCTGATTTCCACTTTCCTATAACCTCCTTTCAGGTAGTTGTAGAGAACAATGAGGTCTTCCCTGAGCCTCCTATTCTGTAGGCTGAAGAATCCCAGCTCCCTCTGCTGCTCCCCATAAGATCTGTGCTCCAGACCCCCCACAACTTCATTGCCCTTCTCTGAACATGTTCCAGGGCCTAAATGTCTTTCTTGTAGAGAGGGGCCCAAAACTGAACACAGTACTCAAGATGCAGCCTTAGCAAAGCTCAGGAGGTACATTTTCACAAAACACTTTAAAATCATGTATTTGGTATCTAAATGTATACTTATTAGACTCTACTGAATATTCAAGAAGTCCTCATTTACGGACTATTTTATTTTATTTCATTTCACAACCTTGAGGCAAAAGAGAACATAAAAGTAAAACCAGCTAAAATAAAACTGCATCTTTTCTGTTACTTCCTTGGGGGAAATGCTGTTCTGTTAAACTCCTGAGTAAGCAGAAGGCCCACCTCCTTGAACTGACAGAGACAGAAAGCTTCTCACTTCCCTTGAAAGACCAGGAATAGAAAGAGGACAAAATTAATGCAAATAGGCTTGCAAATAACAATTTTTTTTCAAAACACACATATATGTGGGCAACTAAACTTAGTGGTTGAACTCTTCTGAAACATAAGAAATTAGGAATATATTTTGTTGTGTAAGTAATACAGTAAGCATACTATTTATACTACTTAGTTAAAGAATTTTATCTTATAACATGCAGCATAATACCAGAACCAGTGATTTCTGTGAAACTTTAGAATATTTGGTGTAGATAACCAGTAAGGAAATACAAAAGGTTAACGTCAGAACAAAAATTCTAGTTGCAAAACTTAAGCCTGTAGACTCACTGGAAGGCTGAAGCTGGCAGGGCCCTCTGTGTCCCTTTGGCCCACCCCCTCATCATCAGGGCCACCAGAGCAGGGTGCCCGGGCCTACGGCCAGGCAGCTTTAGGAGGCCTCCAAGGAGGAGAATCTACAGCCTCTGGGCAGCCTGTGCCAGTGCTCCAGCACCCACACAGCACAGAAATGCTGCGTGCTCTTCAGAGGGAACTCTGAACTAAACTGTATTGCAGTCTGTGCCCACTGCTGCTTGTTCTGGCACTTGGCACCCCTGAAAGGAGCCTGGCTCCATGCTCTTGGCATCCTCCCTTCAGGTATTTAGTTACATTGATGAGATCCCTGAGTCTCCTCCAGGCTGAAGAGCTTCAGCCCTCTCAGCCTCTCCTCACTCCAGTCTCCAACCATCTTGGTGACCCTCCATTGCACTGTTTCCAGTATGTCAAGGTCTCTCTTGTACTGGAGTCCCAGTAGTTCTCCAGATGCAACCTTAGCAGCACAGAGAAGAGGGGGGTCTCTGCCACAACCTCAGGTCCTTCTTTGCAGAGCTGCTTTCCAGCTGGGTGGTCCCAGCATGTTGTGGTTTCAGGAATTGCTCCTGTCTGG